TCTCTCTCCGTCAAATAAATAAATAAAATCTTTAAAAAAAAAAAAAAAGAAATCACAATTCCTGTAATTCTGACACTAACTCAGTATAATGAGAGGAAAATCTTTACCTAGGAAACAGTGAAATTCTGAGCCTAAGACAGGTTAAACTCAGCACAAACTGCACTAGACAAAGTGACGATTTTTAAAATAGAATTCTAAAGTTAGAACATTGCTGAAAAGCTACAAAAATGTTCCCAAAAAACAGATAGAAATAGAGAGGAAGTCTATCCCCATGTCGCATACAAATGCAAGCTTATTTTTGTTTACTCACAGCACTAATTACTTTAACCAAAGCAGAATATTTGAATTAAGATAATCAATATTACACTTCTCTTGTCAAGTCTAGTTAATGAGTTTACTCTGCTATGTAACCATAAAGTGTCTAGGATAGATCTAAAATTAGTGAAAATAGCTTTGTATGGTTTGTGGAACTCTTCTCAAAGTTCCAAGCTTTTAAAATAGATCTGAGAAGTATTTCTATATTATCTTTTCCCTTGTGAAACAAACAACAGATACTGCTGTCAGAATTCTGTTACTCCAGATGATGACCCATGATCACCGTGTTCTAACTGATCTGCTGGACAAAAGGCACTAGCTGGACACTATAAGCAAACAAGACAGATGTAAGGAAGACCAGGACCTTAATCTGGGAGACTTAGAATCTATTTCAAAACCGGGTTTTTTATTTCATTCGTTAGCCAAATGAAATCAACCAAATGCTTTCTTTGAATGTTCTGTAGTCATGACTCTACTTTTAGTGTGATGAACAGAAAAGCCTTAAGCATGACTTCCTTAGGTCAATTAGCAACAATCATTACTGGAAGGTGAGTAACGCAGAAATTCATTAATAGCAAAGCTTCCACCTACCTTAGACCTAAATAAACCTACACTGACCTCTGCATGCTAAATAAAGAGATGAGGTCCCAATGAAGAAAAAAAAAACACATAGTAAGAAATCAAATAGGCAAAGAGTTTTTAATAAATGATTCCTATAGAAAGGAACAGAGTTGTGGCCCCATGGTGTAATGGTTAGCACTCTGGACTTTGAAAGGAACAGAGTATGGTGGTTATGAAGACAGATGCTGGAGACAAACTCCTGCGTCTGAATTCCCACATCACCACTTACTAGCTGTGACCTTGAGCAAGTCAGTGAACGTTTCTGCGTCTCAAATTCCTCATCTATAAACTAGGACCTACTTCCTAAAATTTTTGTAAGGATTAAGTTGCTTTATATGGAAAGTTTATATACAACACCTTGTATCTTAGATATGACACCAAAAGCACAAGCAACAAAGAAAACACAGATAAACTGGACTTCAACAAAATTTAAAACATCTCTGCTTCAAAGGTCAATATCAAGAAAGTAAAAAGACAACACACGGAATAAGAGGAAATTTTTAAAAACCATGTATCGGGTAAGGGAGCTATATCCAGAATATAAAAAGATCTGCTACAAGTCAGTAACAAAAAGACAAATAACTCAAGTAAAAAATGGTTTGTAAAGGATCTGAATAGACATTTTTCCACAGAAAATATACAAATAGCAATAAGCACAATGAAAAGATGCTCAGCATCATTAGCTGTAAGGGAAAGGCGAAACACAACTACAACGAGATACCACTTCACACTCACTACAATGACTATGCTCAAAAGGATAATAACAGGTGTTGGCGAGGATGTAGGGAAACTGGAAGTCTCATACACCACCAATGAGAATATGAAATGGTACAACCACTTTGGAAAACAATCTGGCAGTTCCTCAAAAAGTTAAACACTGTGTCACCATATGACCAAGCACTTCTATTTACTAGGCTATGCATAAGAGAACTGAAAACATATGTCCACACAAACACTTGTATGTTGAATGTTCATAGTACCATTACTGATGATAGCCAAAAAGTGGAAACAACCCAAATGCCCATCAACTGATGAATGGGTAAACAAAAAGCGGTCTATTCATACAGAATAGTACTACCAACAGTAAAAAGAAAAGTAATATTGATTCATACTACAACACGGATGAACCTTGAAAACATTGTTAAGTGAAAACAGTCACATTGTTGTATGGTTCCATTTACATGAAGTGTTGAGAACAGGCAAATCCACAAAGACAGATGAGTGACTGCCTGGGACTAAGTAGGGAGTGACTGCTAAGGGGCACGGGACTTGCTGCTGGGGTGATAAAATGCCCTAAGACTCACTGTGGTGATGTATGCACAAATCTGGGAATATAGTAAAAACCACAGAATTGTGTACTTTAAAGGGGTAGATTATATTAAAGCTGTTTAAGAAAAAAGCTCCTTAGAACAGTGCCTTCACACAGTAAGCGCAAATTGCTTATTTTTATTATAGGCAGAAGAAAATCCCCTCAACATAAAAAAGGGAAAGCAAATTTGAATTAACTGAAATCGGCCAAAATATCATTTCACTTGAAACAGTTGCTGAATGGACAGGACATATTCAGAAGTGACAAGAAATAAAGCAATCTGACCCCACAAAGCATTCTACTTCAAATGCTGATCAAGGGCTCAGAAGCCTAAAGCTAGAAATGACTAGAGGAGAAGCTTGGTTCTTATAATAAACTTCGGAGCAAGCATCCAAAGACTGTCAAGACTGTCAAACTCTTTCCCTTCTGGCCTTCGAAATAGTTGTAGGAAAACCGGGCAAGAAAAAAAAATTCTGAAACACGTCGTTTTGAATAGTATATCTATTTAAATTTCAAAAATAAAATGGAAGTGATGCAATTCTGTCATAACTTCATGTGGATGGGTTTTCTAGGGAGCTGAACAATTTTATAACCTTGAAGAGAACGTTCACTGTTCAGATTTAGAGACTAGGGAGAATCATACCACATTGCTCCTTGGAGTTGTGAAGTGATTCCCTACCAACCCATTTGCCAGGGTTTAAACAGCAGAAAAGAAACTATTGCATAGGAAAAATTTTCCTCTATCTTTCAACGGTTCTTTTGGCTGGTCTAAGAATTAAATTGACATGAGACAAATTAACCATAAAATCAAATTTAATTTCATACATTTGGGAACCCCACATACATGAGAGTTACAAAAACAGGTAAAATGAGGGATCTATGCCATCCTGAGCTAAGGAACGGGATAGGCCTAGGGTTTTAAGAGAGAGGAGCACAATTCACAGGGCAATAAAAGGAAAAGCACATGTTTGGTAATTAGTTATGCGCCCTGCTATACCGATGGGTCATTCAGATAAAATTAATCTCCAGTAATAACTCTTATTCTGGGAAAGATACCAAATTGAGATTCTTCTAGGTAGCTAGGGGAGGGACAAAAGTTTCTCTTGATCCCACAGAGTTTCAATTGCCTTCAGCTCAAAAGAGTCCACATGCCAAAGAGGCACAGTTTGGGGAGACTTGCTCTGAACTCCCTCAACACTATGGCCTGAAAGATCAGACCTTAGTAAGTGAGGAAGAGGCTGTGGTCAGCCCTGGCACCAAAGGCCCCATAAGCAGAGGTCAGAAGGCACAAGTGGCAGGAACTGGAAGGTAGGGGGGAGAGTAGAACCTCAATGTTCTACTTGCTCTCCCTCGGGAACAAAGATCAAGGCCATGTTTCTCTAATTTGGGACGGCTGCAGAAGATGCCCTCAAACACCCAATGCTGATTTCCGGGTTCTTTCCTGCCAGCTTCAACCTCTACAGCAGGATCCCCACACATTCCCATATAACAAAGCCCAGAGACCACCCCTTCTACCCCCAGTACGTTAAACTCAGTTTCATCTCCATTCAACCTTATTTTGAAAAGTTTCAGAAATAAAAAAGATGTATTCTTTTTTTACCTCAATAAATGACTGGTTTTCTGATAGCTCAAAGCTACTTCTACTTAGTGTAAACATCTAATTCTCCTGAAAGTAATGGTTGACACACTAAAATTCAGTACTTTCCATCAGGCATAACTAGCCAGATTGGGCTCAGCAACTTCTATTGACCAAATACCAATGCATCCAACATTGATTTAATTGTTCATCTCTTTCAGCTGGTGGGGGGGGTGTCATTCAGTTCTTCAGCCCATCCCCAAATTATTTTCTCATCACCAACTCAGGTCCCCTGAAAACAAAATAAAGCCATCTGTTTTCCTTTCTCTATACCTTCCATAAACCCTAATAGGAAACCAGCACCACTGTATGTCAATTATATCTCAATAAACTAAGGGGGAAAAATTTCTTAAATTTTAAAAAAAAGAAAGAAAGAAACTATCACGAAACATCAGTCTAAAAGAAGGATTCAACACAGATGTTAAAACAAAAACCTGCAAACCTGAAGCAATTTCATTTCAGAATGGAGATACACAATGAAATTAACGTAAATGCATTGGTCACAAAGCATTTATTTACATGACTATCTGATTTCTATTCTTCAAAAGAAGAAAATATTTCATTTCTTTTTATTTACCTTTTATCATTGATTCTAATTAACCCAGAAAATAATAGAGCTCATTATGAAATAATTAGGCACTGCAATAAAAGAGATTTCGCTATATTAATTAACAGAAATTAAGAAAGGAAAACCCACCTCTGTAAAACACACAAAATTTCTTTCTCTGTTAAGAATACATATACAAAATGCAATCAAGAATTGAAGTTCATGTTGAGAGGGCACAAACCACAAAATCAGGGCAAAGTCATTACTATGAATTCAAAATTAACTGGACAAGCATGCTCAATGCATTCAAAGAATTTTAAATCATTGCAAATCATTCACTTAACCATGCTGGAGGAAGAATTCCCCTCTTCAACAGACAACATAAATCAATAGGGTGCCCCATCAAACAAGGACCAAACCATAATCAGGCTTTTAACAGTTCTGATTTAAAATTACTTAAATCAGAATGTTCCAAAGATCACAATCCAGAAATTTTAACCATTCATTCACACCACCATGAAACAAGCACTTAAAAAAAGAACCAAAAGAAACTAAGCACATAGATCATGTACCTGGATCAATGAGAACTTCTTGTGCCCCTGGAAGAAAGAACAGATTATGGTCTTTTATTTGGAAAACAAAACTACTTTTAAAGACAACTACTAATCACATTTCATGATTCACATCGCCTTGTAAATTCTGAGACACTTCTATCTGATCAGGAGAGCAATTCTGAGTAAGAGTATGTCACAAGTTCAGTGCCTTTTTGCTTTAGGAGACAAAATAGAACAGCTGCCATTAGTCATACCCTGCACAAACTGTGGAGGGCCTTGCCTCCTGCCCTCCCACCCTCCAAGCGCATGCTCCCCCAACCTCCTTAATCAAGTACGAGAATTTCTTATTCCCACAGATAAGCCAACTGACAAAGGAATAACAATTTGTTTGTGCAAATATGTGCCCACAGCTTGGAATGGAGGGCAAAGTTGTTGCAAGTAACTCAGCGCCATCCTCCTGAAATCTCATGCTCACACTCAGCACCATCCTCCTGAAATCTCACACTCACATTCAGCGCCATCCTCCTGAAATCTCACGCTCACACTCAGCGCCATCCTCCTGAAATCTCACACTCAGCGCCATCCTCCTGAAATCTCACACTCACACTCACACACACACTCACTGAATTACTGGACGCTTCACAAGAGAAGGATTTCCAACTTTTAGTAGGTACAATGCAAAACAGTTAACTTCATGATTATCAAGAAGCTTTGAAAGCCTCGATCATCTGCTAAACTACCCAAGTATCAATGAGATCCAATGAGCCTTCTCTGTAGAAGGTAATTTCCCATGATGGCAAAACACACCCTAAGAAGTACTGGTTCCAAGAGTTGTGTTTATCACTAGCTACAATCATTTTTAAACATGTTAGCAAGATTCAAAAAGGTATATCCCAATGATATGTATTCTTACTGAAAGAGCAGTTATTCAATTGTTTATATATAAAGAATAGGTCCCACAATCCTATTTAAGAGCTGTTTGGTGTATTGCAATGTCTATATTTAAATGCAGACACAAAAATCACTGTAATCTAGAAGCCACAATTATAATAAACAAACAGGTGCTTTTTATTGAATGCCAACTACACGCCAAGCCAAACGCCTGACAGCCACTCTGTGTAATTCCCTGTGTAAAAGACAGGGATGATTAAGCCCGCACGCTGCTGAGGAGACCGGCAGTCAGAGGGGCCAGGGATGCCCCAGCATCACTCTGTCCCCACCGCCATGCCCAGGGACAGAACAGACAGATATGTCCTGAGGGGACACTCAGCTGTGGACCCTTAGGGAATGGGGGGTTTCCAGATAACCCTAGAAACTCTTGTTCAGCAAAAACCTGGTCAAATATACTACACTGTGCCATATCCATGGAACAGGGGATGCGACTGGCACTTTTTTCTGCCTCTGCTCAGAGTCATCAATTATTTGACCTCTCAGCACATGGAGTGATGGACTGGGCCCCATACTAAGTGCACTCCAATTGCAGAGCTTTTAAAGTTCTCCTATTCAACGTGTAAAAATCTTTGTCTCATGTCTCATGCAGGCAGCTGACTACCACTTCTCACTGGTGTGGACGGACCGTCTGGAACAACCCTCTTTTGCCTTTTACACTCCCTTCATCTAATCTAATGGGAGTCGGTAAGCCACATGGCCCAGACAGTTTTTTCAAACAGCAAAGGAAAAGCCCAGCTGCAAAAAAAATGGACAGCTTTTTACCAAATGGACTTTAACATCTAATTGGACTTCCTGGAAGCCTTCTATTAGCTCATTTCCAGGCACTTGATAGTTTTCTGATTGGGAAGAGGAGCATGTGTACTTTGCTGTCTGTTATCTGGCCTACTCGGAAGGCCTCTCGTCTTATGTGGGTGGGGGCGGGGGAACAGCGGGTGCTATCCAAAGAAATCACACACTGAGAGAAAGGGTGTCCTCCAGCCAGGTCGCCATGGACGGAAGCACCTTGACATGCTCAGAAATTTGATTATCAGCATCATCAGGCTCTAGTGGACTGATTTCACATTAACCAAACTCCTGAGAGACTCACATAAAAAAAAAAAAGTGGAGGTTGAACTTATTAATGTAATAGAAGACATAATTATCAATCAGACCAAAATATCTCAGTTCAACAATCAGCACTCTTCTCCTCAACAGCCCAATCACAGGCAGGAGGTTACGTGGTGAGCACGGACAGAAGCCGAGCAGGAAGGTATTTTCCTAGATTAACTGGGACTCTCCTTCTGTTACAGGGACAGATCTGCTGCCTAGACGAGCAATCAAGGCTGATCACTATGACTCTCACGGTCAACACTCGTGTAACACTCCCTCTGCCACTCTTTCTAAGCTGACCGAGCCCTGACTCATGGATAGATGCCCTTGAAGATCTACAGACAGGCTGACACCCCCAAACACCTAAAGCCAATCTCTGGGAGCCAAGACTCCTGCTCTGACACTTGCTAGCTCCGTGAGCCTGGTCAGGTTGCTCACCCTGTCTATGCCTCAATTTTCACATCTGTACAATGGGCACAATAATCAAGGCTATTCTGCTGGGTTGCTGTGAGGATGAAGGGATTACACTGGTTTATGTAAAGTGCTGAGAATCGTGTGTAGCACATTTTAAGCGCTCAAAAAATGGTAACTGTTAAGGTGATTTCACAAACCTCCCTTCTAATCATCTTTCGTACGTCCTCGTTTTCCCATTTACAAGTTCTTGGGCAGCGCCCTTATGCTCCACCCCATGACCTGTGGAAAGTGAAGGGAAGGAGCCCCTTCCTCCCTGCTCCTCTGATTTCCATGAGGAGGTCTCTCCCCACAACAGTCCTGGACCGCGGGCCCCTGCTCGTCCTCCTCACTCAAATGGCCTGACTTCCAACTTCAGGACGTTTGGGAGGTGAGCTGCACATGTGAAACCCTCTTCTTCCCCTGGTGCTGGCCTGCCGCAGGGTCCTTGGCTTCCCGCCCTGAGGACAGGGGCAGGTCCTCTCATGGGAAGGACCCTGCGGTCCAGAGCCCCCTGGGACGGGAGAGTCTGTTCATTTTTGGATACAGTACAGCCTGCCCATTTTCCTGCATCCCTAAAGTTCATGGAGAATGGGGCTTTATCAGTAATAAAGGTGCCATTTGTCTCCACCTGCCTCCTCTTCCATCTCGTCTCGTCTCCCAGTTGGCTGGTGGAGAAAATAGTAGTGCAATGATTGGGCCCCCTTAAGCCCCAACAGACACTAATTAACAAAAAGTTCTGTGACTTCACATAGGTTCAGAGTGACCACATAAAGGCCCTATCTCTGGTGGTGCTGCAGAAGTCCGAGCACAGGAACTGCTGACCCTCCTCAAATAGTTCACTCGTTTCTTAACGGCATCTTTCTTCCCAAAATCATCATTTCATATTTTAAACCCTTAAGATGATGGCTTCGTGCAGAATAACAGCCGAAGTTCACGAGCTCTTTTATGAGATAACCACTGTGCTAAACACTTTACATAATTTCTCTGTGATCCTCACAATTCTCCAAAGCAGACATTAGCATCCTTGTTTTTCAAATGAGAAAAAAACTCAGAAAGTACGGACTCAGGTTCACAAGGCCAAGTGGCAGCGTGCACACTCCTACCCAATCAAAACACGAGGCTTGGTCCCTGCAACCAAATCCCACCCCCCCCCCCCCGCCCCGATGAACCCTCGGGGAACTCAGAGTTCTTCAGCGTCAAGGCACTCCAGAGACTGTTTCCACCTCTTTTATGAAAGCACGGCTGACTGGTCTCTAATATCGGAAGAAGAGTCCAGTTTCACCATTGTTCACACAGCACACCTGAAATTTTCACAGAGATGACAGAATAAAAATAAGATCTCACTGGAACACCCAGACATAACGGACACTGTACTATTCCGAAGCATTAAACAAAAAAATCAAACTAAAGGAACATTGGTTAAGTCTTTCACAAACAGGAAAATTAAGACTTTTCAAAGGCGCAAGGGCACCGCCTAGGGCCACGGAAAGGCTCTCCAAGTTGCTGGGAAAGGTGCAACAAAAATTGCCTGCATGCTAAGAAAAGATGAGTAAATTTTTAAAAATAGGATGCTCAGAGACCTTACTAAAAGCTGAGCTAGCAATATGAAATTCTGCTGTAGGAAAGGGAGTGGTAGTCAGCACTTAATCTGGAACCTTAAACAAGACATAGGCTCATGGAAACCAACCTTAACGGGAAGGGGTCTTGGGCATCTGGTTCAGCCCCCGTTCTCAGGGAGACTGAGACCCAGGGAGTCTGTCCCTCCAGCACTCAGTAGCAAAGCCTACTCCTAGTCCTCACATCTTGCACTATACCAAAACCCAGCAGAGCTATACTAGCCCTGGATGCATAAAAGTCACATTTGTGTTTTTCCAACAGTAGGTAGTCTAAGTGTCTTGCAAAATACTTCCCAAAGAGCTGGTAACTATAAATCATACAACTGTGTTGAAATACAAAAACGTTTATTTACACAGTAAAACAGCAAGAGTTCCCCCCTTTTATTCCCTCTATTTTTAAAAAAATGATGTCAAATCAACATTTTCAATTTTTTAACCTTTTAAGAATACAGAAAAAAATCAAAATTTTCTTCACTCACAAAAGAGATAAGCTTATTCCCTGGAAACAGCTCAATATCAATTTTTCTAAACATATTGGCTATGGTCAAATTCCAGGTAATTTAAAGGTTTTAGTGAATGATTACATGGCAATATGAATTCTGAGTTGTAAAAACATACATTCTGTACAAAAAATCATCAAGTTCTCCAGCTTAAGGCAATTTAGCTGTTCCCCATCTTACTAGAACAACACTAATTTCATCAAAACTTCATATTGCGCTAAAAAATGTCACCGGAGGGGCGCCTGGATGGCTCAGTTGGTTAAGCGACTGCCTTCGGCTCAGGTCATGATCCCGGGGTCCTGGGATCGAGCCCCACATCGGGCTCTCTGCTCGGCGGGAAGCCTGCTTCTCCCTCTCACACCCCCCTGCTTGTGTTCCCTCTCTCACTCTCTCTCTCTCTCTGTCAATTAAATAAATAAAATCTTTAAAATAAAATAAAAAATGTCACTGTATCCATAGCACTTTAAATCATACTCGTATTATCATATGCATATACTATTGAACATGCATCAGAAACAAACCACCCTCTTCAGTATTCAAAGTTGATCCTGCTAAATAATCTATGCTATTTGTGACAGTAAATGTTTACTGAGCATCTCTTAGGTGCTTTGTATAAAAGGTAGCTAATTCTCATAATCACACAAATTAAGTAACATTATTCAAATTCCACAAGTGAGGAAATATACTTGGGCCATAAAAAGCAAGGCTGACAAGGCCCAAGTCCCATAAAACCTACATATTCATCATCAGAAAGAAAAGAGTCTAGATTGTTACTTTCTCTCAACATTTACTAACTTACTCTTTTCTTCCTTACTCACGACTACATAAAACCAGTTCAGTCTGTATAACTTTTTCTCCCAACAAGCATCACCAGAGAAAAACAAGCACTAAGTCATTGGCAACGGCTGGATTTTCAAAGCCCACTTCTCTTTTGCACTGTCATCATTTTTAAAATGTTTTATTTTTAGTGCTTATGGAGTTAAAATATTAACTTTTTACACTGTTGGCAGAGACTAAATCAACTGCGGAAGTGTCCGATTTCAGTCTCTGCCCCTCTGTCCCATAGTCTCACTGACGTCTCTTCTTTTAAGGCCGCGTCAGGCTGAGACCGCGGAAGTCTGGCACTGATGAACTCACCGATGCTCGGGAAACCAGCCAGTGGGAGGCTGGATAGCAGAGCAACAGAGCACGTGCCGCACAGTCAAAGCAGCCTGGGCCCCGGCCCTGAGTCAGCCCCCACCAGCTGCACGACAGGGGGCCAGGGACACATGTCTTTCAGCCTCGATCCCTCACCCACACAGAGGGGACACGGATACATGGATTTCCACGCCTGCCGGGAGGCAGGACGCAAGGGGAGCACTGAGCACAGCCCCTGGCCAGGTAGCTCCCGAATAATTCACAGCTATTTTGATAATGATGATGATGGTGATGATTAATAAACTAAGACAGACCAAAGAGTAGAAGTAACCACAAAGAAGAAACATCTACAAGTCAATAAGCATTTCTTTTCAGATTAATTGCAGAATGTCCTAGTGATTTTTTTAATAAACCAAGTTTTGTCTATTTATTATATAGACTTACAGGTTCATATGCAAGTCTCCAAGAAAAAAAGAATTTGTGGCCTCTAACTTTTGAATACTAGGAAAGTTTAAAAAATAAAACAAAAGGGGAATTAAAGCAAAAGAGGAGGGGACTACAGAATTCTTTTGAAACTATGATAACTCAATGCGAGGACATCTGCTGGAAAACCACATAGCTGGAGTCCGAGCTGTCAAGGGTCTTCTAACCGCACTTGTGAATTCCTATCACTAAGTCTTAAAAAGACCTAACACTCCACACTAACACTCTGGCTGACATGGCCGCTAACGGTTATCCAGGACCACGTAGGGCAGGTCCAGGTCCCCTACGTGTGCATCTCACACACCTTCACAGGAACCCTATGAGGGAAGCACTGTCACTATCTTCCTCGTCTTAGAGATAGACAAACTGAGGCACCAAGAGATGAAACATTCCAGGTCACACTAACAGTAAATGACACCTGCATTTCAGCTGCTGAGAAAGGAACTCAAGGGAGAACGTTAGGTCATCGGCTTGTCTGGTCTTCACCCCAGAGAGCAGATGCCATACAGCCCCCGCCCCCCGCTGTAGGACGAGGGGGCCACAGACAGACAATCCTGAAGTCATCACCAAGATAAAACAACACACGAGACGGAGCGCGGTGACGGGCCTGGACTCCTGTCTGCGGGAAGGGCAGTAAAGCGGGCCCGGCGTGCTGTGGGCCCTCGCCTGGGCTTTGCCGCACCGCCTTCCAAAAGTAATAGAGCCTGAGCTTTTTACACTCTGCGAAGCTGAAGAGAGACATTCCTCTACTGCAGTCAAAGCAGTTTTTCAAAAACAGCTGAAACCTTTTCTTTGCCTACGTTCAGCCAACGGGGAAAATGAAACATTTCTCTAAAAAGTGTCTGGAGTCTCACTAATCACATCAGTAGAACAGTCTCAACACACTAGAACTCTTCAAACAGGGGAAACAACCACCTCCAACAAAAGGCTCCCAGAGAGAGCGCGGGAGCCGGTCCTCTCGGGTTGGGGAAGGACGTGGAGCCCCACAGCAGGGCCGGCAGGACCGCAGCCAGGAGGAGGCCAGTCAGGGTCCAAGCACAGGAGAGGGAGGCCCACCCAGCCTCAGACTCCACATCTCTCCTCGGCCTGCTGTACCTTCCCCTCACGTAACTGGGGGCCACGGAAATCATGAGGAGCGCTGTGCTGAAGAAGGATGAAATATCTTCCAGAACCATTACAGATCCACCTGAGCAGTCCCACAAAAGGTGCACCCGGTTCCAGCTGTGCAGCCACAGTAAACCCGCTCCTAAAGGCCATCTGCACTCTCTGTTGGTCATGGGAAAAGGTATAATTCAGGAAACCACACAGTCAGGCCACTTCCCTGTCCAATACCCATTAACTACTGTGGGCTTTCTCTTTGGAGGAAAAGGTGTCTAAACATCTCATCGATCAAAACACACCTAGCAACTGTATGTAAAGCCTTGACCTCTGTTCTTTGTTCTTATCTTCATGACTGAGGCCACAGTTCATTCATTAAGGGTCAGAAGGGTCAAGTTCATCTGACAAGCACTTGTGAGTCTGCTCCTCCAAAGAAGATTTTTTACTCTTCATTGGTGTTGCCAAACATAAGCAATTCAAACTTCACTTACTAAGAGAACTTCATCAAACCAGAAATAAAGAAGAGTCCAGGCCCTGAATTAGCTGTTAAAGTCAACATCTAGGGCCAGCTTCCCTAAATATACAAAAATTAAGAAAAAGACCCAGACACAGAATTTTGAGGTCAGTCTACCAAGAAACTTCATTCAAGTGTTCCAGAAATCAACCAATCATTGTAACCCATTAATAGTAAGATTCCATAAGATCAATATTCAGTAAAGTCAGAAGAAAATGTCTCATGCAAGATTTCTGACTCAAGAGATTTTATATTTTATCTAAACATCTGTGAGGTGTAACCCAGAGGGAAACATATCAGTGACAACCACCCCCACCTTGCTTACAGACTGTAACTGAGTCCAGGCAGGAGGAAAGTGCAGAGCTTACCTGGTCGATGTCTGTTGGCTGCTTCGGCAGGAAGTGAGCTACTCTGGAACCTTCGAGCTCCAGTCTTACCCCCAGTTCCACCAGGATAGTGATAGATGACAGAAGCCGAACATAACCCTTCAAGGGCAGCTGGGTGTGGGGAAAAAAAAAAAAAAGGCACCATCAGTATAAAGTTAGTGGCCCATCATGAGCTCAAACTGCAGTGGCTGAGAATGATTTAAATAGTTCGATTATGTGGAAATGCCCATTCTTCCCCAAAACGAAGATCGAACCTACAGATCACTGGCTTGGTTACAAACAGGAACATGCCACCCATCACGTTTCCCGGGCACAGGCCCAAGCTGGCAACACCGAACACTCTCAGGAAACGCAAGGCCTCACTGAGAGGCTGGGTACACACGTGGCATGGACCAGCCTCCTTCTCCCTTTAAACAAAAGTTTAGGGCTTACCGGGAGGCAGGCTCTGCGCCCGATTCTGACGCTACAGAGCTGGGCAGCAGAAAATGCCCTGGATTGAAAATATTCAAAAACAAGACCCGCAAAGCAGGACCACACCGCCTCGTCCCATCACACACCCTAAATGCATCTGGCACCCTCAGAGCGAACACCGGTAAGCCTGTGTCCTCAGAGGCAGCCACATTTTGTTCTTCTATGTGGGCGGTTACAGCCTACGAGTCTCTAGCCGTGCCACGGGCCAGACACGTCGTGCCACTGTGTTCACGGTCCTCAAACGTGGTGGTCTGAGCGCCCCTCCACACTATGAAAACTCACTGAGGATCACAAAGACCTTCTGTGATCCGGTTTGTGCCGGGTACATCTACAGATACTTACCCTGTTTGAAAATAAAGCTAAGAAAAGATTTAAACATGTGCTCATTCCTTTTAAAATCATAATAAGCCCATTACGTGTTACATTTTTATGAACACTATTTTCCAAAACAAAAATATATGCTGGCAGAGCAGCACTGTTTTACACTTTTACAAATGTCTTTCATGTCCGGCGTGATACGAGGGAGCTGGACCCTCCTGTCTGCTTCTGTTCCGATCTGTTACGAAGCCACAGGTCGCGGAGCCCGTGGCTGATGAGAGGCTGCAGGAGAAAGCAGTCCACAGCACACCCCCCTCCTCAGGAACCCCGCCGACCTAGCTTATCACTCTGTGGGCCCCCCACGGGCATGGGGGCCATTCTTCCTGGATAATGCCCGATGCAGGGGCCCTAATGCTATAGCTCAGTGGGGTACGGATATATTCCACCAATCAGTCAATCTCTAGCCTCTTTAAGAAACCAAATTCTGAAACGGAAGTCCATTTTAAGAATTTCTTGTATTTACTGTGTTCTACAGCACGTTGCTAAACTTCTATTAAAGAACTGACTGCAGGGACATCTGGGTGGCTCAGTCTTTAAGCGTCTGCCTTCGGCTCAGGTCATGATCCCAGGGTCCTGGGATGGAACCCACATCGGGCTCCCTGCTCAGCGGGAAGCCTGCTTCTCCCTCTCCCACTCCCCCTGCTTGTGTTCCCTCTCTTGCTGTCTCTTTCTGTCAAATAAATAAATAAAATCTTTAAAATAAAATAAAATAAAATAAAGAACTGACTTCATTACTTCATTCTGACTTGTATTCATAAGTAGCTGACAGGCCCCCCCGACTCACCTTTCCAGGAAAGAACCCTTTTTCACTCCTCACTCACACGATGTTTATTTAACAAGCATTTACGGGACACGTACAATAAGCTGATTATGGACACACACAGACCGTGCCTCCCAGTCCACCCCCAGGAGATGGTCCCCCAAGGGAAAACACACATAAACACACAATTCCAGCACAAAGGGCAAGCCCCATAACAGGCAGGGCTCAGTACAAGACACCACAGGCTCCCACTGCCTACAGGGGTGAGAGAAGGCTCTCCTTTGAAGTAGGTTTTTAATTCGTTTGTTAGTGTTTCAAATTGAAAGGTAACTCACAGAGCATTACCACTCACCCACGGAGCAGTATCCAATTCACAAGTGTGCAACCTTCACCACCATCTAATTCCAGAATGTTTTCATCACCCCAGAAGGAAGCCCCACAGCCACCAGCACTCACATGCCCCTCTGCCCAGCCCCTGGCAACTGGTCATCAGTCCCCTGCCTTTTCAGGACAATCCAGATAAGAGGCGGCCCTTTGGGGTGCCTGGGTGGCTCAGTCGTTAAGCATCTGCCATCGGCTCAGGTCATGGTCCCAGGGTCCTGGGATCGAGCCCCACATCGGGCTCTCTGCTCCGCGGGAGGCCTGCTTCTCCCTCTCCCACTCCCCCTGCTTGTGTTCCCTCTCTCGTTGTGTCTCTCTGTCAAATAAATAAATAAAATCTTTATTTAAAAAAAAAAAAAAAGAGGCAGCCCTTTGTGTCCGGCTCCTTGGACTTAACGTGGTGCTATCAAGGTTCGCCCATGCTGGAGGGGCACCCGGACTTCATTCAGCTCTATGTCTTTCATTCACTGAAGCACAGCACACAGACAACGGGATACTCGTGTCGGGCGTACAACGTACTGATTCGGCTGTCCGTCCGTTCATCAGTGCTCACCACGACAGGTGGAGCCGCCATCTGTCACCAGCTGTATCCTGCTCCTCCTGACTACACTCCCTGTGCTGTCACCTTCCACAGCTTTACCTCTTTTTTTTTTTTTAATTGACCATCACCCAGTTACCCCATTCCAACCCCCACCTCTTTTTTTTTTTAATGTCCAACATTTTCGTATCTTATTAACACTCCGCTGAATGGATATACCATATGTAGTCAATCCGTTGTCAGCTAACGTACAGAGATGAGGTTTTGAAGAATGAGTGCAAGAGGTAACTAAGGTGGGGAATGGCATTCTAAGCAGAGAGGGCAAGATGTGTTTAAAAACAAACCCCAAAACCCAGGGGAACAAGGAAAGGCAGCACATTGTCAAGGAAAGTGCATGCAGGTGCCAGGAGGACCTCAGTGCGGGCAGGGGGCAGGGGGATGGGGGTCGCGGCAGCAGACAAGGCAGGACAGTTACCCCAGACGATCCCCCACAACATCCAGACAGCCGACTGCTTCTCTTCCCGCACCCTTCATTTTGAGAAGCAATTTTTATGTTTTCTCTTCTTTCAAATCACATATCTGATATCTGCATGAGATGATCTTACCTCCAAGCCACAGGAAGTCATTCACCGAGCGGAGAAGCTCCACAGACATGTGGTAATGTACCAAGGAGTCCTGCAGCATCCCCGCCTGGAGACATAAATCCCCCACGTGCTTGCGCATGCGCCCTTGGCACCGCTTCTTGTAATGTCTACAAAATACAATGCGTGGACACATCATTGCTAGTGCACGACTTCTGCCCCGAAAGCACTATTTGACTCCCCCACTACAAAAAAAACGCTCAGAAGGCAACTTTAGGCTCCATAATGAAAGGCAGCAACCACCACGGCCAGTGTGGGAGCTGGAATGGTCTGACTCCACAAACACCTGCCAAGTTATCTTCTAGAGGTAACAGGGACGTGTGACTTCCACCGTGCATTTCACCCAGACAATACCAGAGCAGGATTCTCCTTCGCAAATTTTCCACAACATCAGCACAAGAAAGTTGATGTTTCAGCTTTTTTAAAAAATCAATTATCTTCCACTTTCTTAACTTCAAACCTATTATTATCGTATAAAGAGAGCGGTGCTACATATCAAAAGCCAGCCACTTGGCTTTCGCAAACAAGACCTTTACCCAGCTCCTTCAGAGCCGGCCCCAGTAATGCCTTCGGGGGGGTGGGCCTGGGGCATCACCAACAGCTCCTTAAATGTTGGCAAGGATACGCTGTTAAAGAATGCAAAGGCTTCTATCTACTCAGAAACCAAAGAAACTATACCAAAATCTTCCTTTACCATTTTTAAATATTCCTATTCTTTTAAATATTAAATTTCTTAAAATTTTTTTTCAAGAAAAATAGCAGCTGTATTAAATTTTCTTTCACTGAGAAAGCATTCACATCAAGAATAAAACCCCCATGGAAATCCAAAACACATTAAGTTTCTAGCTAAGTGAATACTATTGACAGACCTCAATACGAAGTTAAGTCATTCCGGATCTAACTCTGACGAGCCCTAGAAACGCTCCGGCCCCCTGGAATTCGGCGTCTCTGTTCCCAGTACTGGCTGAACTAAGATCATCGCAGAAGGCAGGGGAGAGAGAGAAGAGGAAGCACCAGTCTCCTGCCCAGCCCAAGGCAGTGTGAGTATGGCCCCCACTAACAAGCCCTCCCCATAAGAAAACACCACACCTATATGCTGCCCTGCCCTCCCCCACTGGGTACCTCCATTCTGTATGGCCCCTCCACCATGTCCCTGACACACACACACACACACACACACACCCTCCTCCCCCACCCCCACCCCCGCCCCAGCCAGGAGGGGCTTCCCAGACCGTAAATCTGATTAGGTCACTCCCCCTGCTTCAAACCCCGGTCCCCAGCACAGTTCTAGCCCCCCTCCCGCTGCCCCTGCCTCCCCTCCTCCCACTGCCCCACTGCCCTGCACTCTACAGCCTCATCTTACTGCTTACCAGGGCCCCCAGTGACCTCCTGCCTAACTGCTTCACACTCTCCTTAGGGCTCATTTCAACTGTCAGTTTATCAAAAAAGCCTTCCCTGTCTCCTGCCTCTGCACTTTGGATTAGATGCCCCTGCTGCGTTCCTAGAACATTCTATGCTGAATCAACTTCTGACATTTGTAAGCTCCAAAAAGGCAAGTACACTTTGCTTACTACGGTGCATCCATCCCTCTCCCCTGGACACTCAAAAACAGGTTTGTTGTGAATAAACAAATGAATGGATGGGTCTCAAAGGGACTGAGCTGCTCCTGCCCACCCCAACCCCCTCTTTCTGCAGATCAAAACCACAAACACCTCTACAAAAGGCCATTCCCCACTGACACCCTTCACTGCCTCCCTCTGTTGTCAGTTTTAATAAAAACCAAGTTCCTCCAAAGCCCTGCAGGACAGGTCCTCTCCAGGGTCCTCTCCAGGATCCCAGCCTCTCCCCTGAAGCCTGGGACATGGACCGCACTGCCCGGGGCACTCGCCTCACGCCCCCACCCCACATCCTCCTGGCTGCCCAGGCTGCTCCTGCCCCCTGAGCCACCCTCCTGGCCCCTTCCCCTGGCTGACTCTCATTCTGTCTTCAGAACTCAAGGCAGACTGCTCTATGTCCTGGAAATCCCCCTCACCATGTCCCTTAGCCCTCGGCGGGGCTGCCCCCCAAACACGACGGCACTGTTTCTACCTGAGTTTTTGTCCACCCCCTCTATTAAGACCATGGCCTCTCTGAGAGCATTTGGGAAGAGGAGAAAGAGATGAGAATAGGGAAGGGAGGAACAAAGAGCAAAGCACAGCCCAAGTCCCAAATCCAAAGATTCTCACGTGCTTGTCACAGCCCCTGGACTGGACAGGGAAAGAAGTTCCACTCCAGCACCGTGAATATATCTTACTCTGACGGCAACACAAGGGACCGTGCAGGGACTCTGTGTCCGTCCTGATGCAGAATCACAGGAGAACGACATCAACTGAACAGAAGCTCAGGGACGCATGCCTGGGCTCCCGTCCGTGCACGCAGCAGCGCTGCCAGGCCTCCCCCGCTCTCCCCAAAGCTGGCCAGTGCCTGGCTCACTTCCCTGGGGTGCTCTCTGTTCCGACCGAGAGAAGCCTTCAGCATCCACACACACACTTCCCACCTCCAGTAACACAGCTGTCGACCTGTCTACAAATACCGCCGCTGTGTTGAGTGACACACGTAGGAAGCGCGGCTAGTTGGCACCTTACTCCTCTCCCGCCCTCCCCCCTTACCCGGGCCTTATTCCCCCGGTGGTGGAAGCCCCGTGACGCGCTGTCTTACTCATCTCTGGATCCGCCCATATAGCACCTCACACTGGGAAGGATCAAAAAAGAACTGCTTCAGGGGCGCCTGGGTGGCTCAGTTGGTTAAGCGACTGCCTTCGGCTCAGGTCATGATCCTGGAGTCCCGGGATTGAGTCCCGCATCGGGCTCCCTGCTCGGCGGGGAGTCTGCTTCTCCCTCTGACCCTCCTCCCTCTCATGTGCTCTCTCTCTCATTCTCTCTCTCAAATAAATAAATAAAATCTTTAAAAAAATAAAAAAAAGAACTGCTTCCTCCAAAAGTAACTACCAATGTACTCAAGAGCGTTTTTTAAAGTCTTACTTGGGGGAAAGACTATTCCAGAACCATCCATCGATCCTTCTATAAGTCAGCTTCTGCTCCCAATCCCCCATCACCTCTCCCAGCAGATCCCTACCTGAGGTACCCTCTGTTCCACAGGAAGAACAGACCGGGAAGCTGGGACACCCCACTCCTCAGGCCTCTGAGCCCTCCCTCAAGGACCGGCAGGGCTCTGCGCCCCACCCCAGGTGCCTCTGGCCCCTGAGGAGGCTCACCTCCACCCTCCTGCTGCAGGAGCCGTCTTCCCAGGACGCAGGTCCCATACACCATTCCCTTCAGACTCCTTCAGTAGCTGCCCTGCCCACCAGCACTTTCAAGATAAATGGCAGCAGCTCCTAAAATCCCAGCCTCCTCAGAATGACGTACAAAACCTCCATGAGACTGGGCATTCCTCCACCCACTGGTCACAGCTCTGGCCCCTCCTCCCGCCCCAGTCTACACCTCACTGGAGGTGCTCACCCACATGCTTGGTTCTAAATACAAGCCACATACTGACAACTCCCAGCGTGGTTCTCCGGTCCGCTCCTTCCCTGCACTCCAGGCTCATAAATCCATTTGCCTCTTTGAAACTGTCACTTGAATGTCAAATAGGCGTCTACAATACATGTTCAATATTTAACTCTGGAATTCGACCCCCAGCAGGAACCTCCCAGTCCTCCCCATCAGACAGCCTCGCCACATGCTCACTTGCTCAAGTCAAAACCCTGAGTCTCTTACTCGATGTCCTCTTTTCCTCACCCCTGCCCCCACACCATAGTCAGGGTCGTGCCACAGGACCCAGTGCGGGACACAGCAGGCTCACAGCAAGCGCGGGCTGAGTCACGGCCCTCTAAAGAGCAGGAGGTCTCTCCTGGCACCGGATGCTCAGAGAAGGTATGTGAGTCTCACAGGTAAGGCCAAGAGAACGGCCCAGAAAAAGGGGCTCATGGTTCTCCTGTCATCCGCACTTTGAAGGGTCTGAGATCTAGAAGAGCTCCCGGTTAAGAGACGTACCTCCCAGAGGTGAGCAGGTGAGAAAGGAGGAACCCAGGCAAAGCTATTCTCACACAGCTCCCCGGGGCCTGGGGAGCAACAGGAAAGGCCCTGTGGTGCGGGGCACAGCCCAGCCATCACAGCATCCCTGCCCTGTATGTCTGCAGGCGGGAAGTTGCAATGTCTTCTACTTGCTACACTTATTTCTGCTTTGTTCCCCCACTCTAGAATGTGAGGGAATCTTTCAGAAGGTCCAGCCTATCTCACTTGAGACAAAGTAAGTGAAGGAAGAAAGTGTTCACATGTGGACCAGAGCAGTAAAGAAGAAACAAGGCCTCCTGGCCAGCACGGTGGTGGTGGCCAGACCTTTTCCCATGGGTGAGCTGGGCCAGGGAGAAATACAAGGAGCTAGGTCGGCCAAAGGTTCTCCCTCTAGGCCCGACCTTGGTTAAATGTTGGAGCTTCACTGCTGCAAACTAACGACGTGCCCGTCAGTGACGGGCATGAGCCTCAACAAAGACAGAAACAGCTATCTCTCACCCACCATGGTGAAAAGGAAAGGCAGGTGCACGATTGCTAAGGTAAACCACACATCTGGCTCGGCATGCTTCCTGGCTAAAGCAGAAAGAAAACTACGCTCACCTATGAGGTCCTTGTGTCCACAAGCTCCAAATGAACTAGCTCTTTAGAAGGCCATGTTTTCCTAATACCTAGAAAAGTCACCCTCATAGATGGGGCAAAAGATAGATGGCAGAACAGCCTCTGCCCTTTTATGAAGGACAGCTGCTAAGGTGAAGTAAAGAAAACGGCATGCTCCAGGTGAAAGCGAAAGGCCTCTGGTGACCGCGTCCTCCGACAGCGTCCCTCTGTGGCCAGCACGCTCCCGAGCCGGGCACCCTCGCCGGCGGCCACTGGGCTACAAGCTTTGTCATGCACATCACACAGCGACAGCCAAGAAACACGTGCCTACTACGTTCATTCCAAAGCCAGGATCAAGCAAGGAGCTGCAGTCTTGTACTTTCCAGGTTAAAATGCCCCGGGAAAAGTCCCTGTGCAGCTGCCGAAATCAACAAGCATCCCCCATCCTCCAAACAGAAGAGATTAATAAGGGCTCGTTTGCCACCAAATACTAAGTAAGACAAAACAAGTTCCCCAAAGCAAATATTTGAACAGATATCAAACACCAATGGGTTACGTGCTTAAGAAAGCAAAATATTTTTTAAATTAAAAAATGAAAAGATGATTGGGGTAATATATGGATCTAGGCAGCAGTAAGTTTTTGGTTTTTCAAGCGGTGAAGGCAGCACACAGGGAGATCTAGCTACTACAATGCGGTGTGTTCACAGCCTACCTTTTCAGACCCAACAACATACTCACAGGGCGGTATGATAGAAAAAAAAAAGGAAAAGGAAAGAAGAGAGGAACAAGCAAAAATTAGAAACACACAAGAACAAAAATAACTTTGACAGCTACAACACTGCATGTCCAAGAAACTCCCGTGGGCTTTCGAGGCGTGGGGCACATGTGAACGTTCTAGTGAAATACGCCCACACCTCGTGTTACGGGGAGCTGTGGGGCCTGCAGTGGCCAAATCTGCCACGGGGCCTATGGATGTGATCGGTGCGCCACCCAAACCTCGGCGTCCACCTAGACGTTTCCTTGTGAGCTGCGAACTACGGTCTCGTTTCAAGCTGGACACTCCTACCAAGAGCTGCGGGACGGAGCTGGGCTCTGTGTCTGCACCAAATCATTGTTTTAAAAAGATGTTTCACTGTAGACGCGTGAAAGCAACCGTGGACCGGCAGGGATGACGGGAGAGTGTATTTAATCTGAGGCCACTGGCGTCACCGTGTCACATAAGTTCAGAAGCTGGCTGAGTGTCTCCGGCACGCCGAGACCAGAATGGTCCCACCGGGAGGGCAGTTCGATCCACTGCTGGATTCCCGGTGCCTAGAGCCATGCCGGGCACATGGGGGGTCTCAATAAAGACTTGGTAACATTACTGCCCTGGCAGTATGGGCTGGCTTGCTGTCCCAAGACAGTCTTGTTACTCCCACCAAATTGAGCATAGATTTCAAACGGCAAAAACAGGCCGGCATTCTCTGGTGGGTCTGCAACCTCAAAGCCAAGAAGTCAGTGACCAAAAAAATGTCACTGGTGCCTTGTGTAGCAGAGGCCAGTCCCTGCCCACGCCACAGGCTGCGGTGGCTCGGGAGTGTGGGGGCCGTGTGCGGTGCGGCCCCGTGCGGCAAGGGAAGGTCACCAGGTGGCCGCTCTGGCCCGGCTTTGGAGAGGGCCTGGTGCGCGGCACAGGGCTGCCCCTCGCAGCTGCCGGGGCTGGTCCGCCTCACCACCCCAGCTCCAAGGCAGGAAAGGGGAGCACTGGCATGCTGACCTCGGGGCCACTGCGAGGACTGAGTACAGATCGTAGGTGCAGTGTGCCCTTTCCTTAGCCACACACACACACGTCTGGCAAGGAAATGAAAACTAGTGCGGACCCCGCAGCGCACCAGAGCAGGTGGAACTTAGGCCCCTCTGTGCTTCCCACTCTCAGGGCTGGGCCGGGCCTGTTTCTCTCCGTTCGGTGACATTTTCTCCTCCAACTTACCAACAAATGGCAAGTCAGTGTTTGATCTCAGGTAAACTCCAGAAACACGCTGAGCACCTACTCTGCAGTGGGCATCTGCCAGCAGGACACAAGGTCACTCCATCCTCGCCTGCGAGACCCACATCCACATTCTACAGGAGGGGAAGGAGGGACTCGGTGCCCAAGGCCACGAAGCCCCCGCTCTCCCTCGCTGAAGGGGACCTCGTCCAGGCAAAGCATCACCGCCTAAACCTACACATCGTCCTCCTCTGTGTGTGGACACCACAGCGGCCACGATACGGGGAGGCAGTGCAGGGGACAGAGAGGGCAAACACAGAGCACAAGACGGTAACCTGCAGTTCTGGTGCAAAGCGCAGCCGCTGACTTCATCTCGGGAAATGTGAGGCCTGACCTTTCCCTGCTCTATTCGACACCCCCCATAACACAGAGAATATAAACACACTGCCGTGTGCAGAAGGAGCTCTTTGGGAAGTCCATGGTAGCATCGCTGATTCCCTGACGCTCGCCTCGGCTGGCTGTAAGCGAGGACTGGGACGCTGTAGCTACCAGGTGGGAAGAAGGGCCTGACCCGTGCACAGCGCCCAGCCCGGGAGACAGGAGCTCCACCTTGCACTCAGCTCAGCTAGCTCCTAGTTCGGCGCCTCTCCAGGCTCAGCACCTCATCTATAAATCGAAGGGATGAGACTGAATAGAAGTTTCTTAACTGTGCACTAGGTAGGGCAGTGCTGTCCAACAGGAATAAAATGTGAGCCACGTACAAAAAGTTTTCTAGCTGCCACGTCTTAAAAAGTAAAAAACAATTGAAACCAATTTTAATATTTTACTTAACCTAATATACGTAAAATATTATCATTTTGACATGTAAAAAAGATGAACAAGATATTTTCTTTCTTTTTTCATACTAAGTCTCAATACCTGATGTGCATTTTACTTACAGCACATCTCAGCTCAGACAGGCCAGCTCTCTGGTGCGCAAGAGCCGCAGGTGACCACCGTCCTGGACAGCGGCTCAGGGGGTCCCACAAAGAGGGCCGGCTGAAACAGGGGAGTAAGTACACACACTAACCCTAAACAGAATCCCCCTAACCAAAGGCTGTCCCGTTTCTAGAAGTCTGAAAACCATGGACTGCACCTGTCTACCCTTTGTGGCATCAAATTCTACCCCCTGCTTCCCCCTTCGTGATGTCAGGAAGCAAGCCAAGCACAAAGCCTCTGGGCCCCCAGGTAAACTTACCTACTGTCTGTGTCCAGTCCTACAAAGTCCTTCTTCTCAAACGGGACACAGAGAAGGGGGATCTTATCCCCGGACTTGTCAGTGGCCCTGTCCAGACGCTTGGACTCGAGCACAATGAAGAGCGATTCGATGAAGTCCTCGATCCTCTTCTCCACCGTCTGGCAGTCCTCGTAGTTGGGGTAGAAGGCCACGTCAGTGCGCGGCTGCTCGGTGGTCTCTCCCTGCAGCCCAAAGACGAAGAGCCGGGAGTCGTAGAGCGTGGAGCCATAGATCTCCTTCTGCACGTGGAACTTCTCGAAAGTCTGCGGCCAGTCCTTGGCGGAGAAGCAGTCCGTGATGGTGATGAGGCCCACGACTTTGCGGTGGGTCTGGAAGTCGCCCCACTCGTTGTTCTCGGGTGGGTAGTGGTGCCTGTAGCGGATACAGAGCACCCGCTGGGAGTCCCGCACGCTGATCTGGCTCACGGAGGAGATCCTCTTGTAGATCTTGAAGAAGTTCTCTTCGGAGACGATGCCCACAGGCTGCACCACCACGAGGAGAGTCTGGTGGTCCTCAGCACACTGCATGTAGTCAGGGACACTCATCTTGAAGACTCTGTCAAAGAGAACATGGGGACTTTGAGGCACCCGCACTGGGATGCGGTGGTTCTGACATGAACCACCTGGGAGGCAGGGTGAGCCCCGCACAGAGCCGTGGGCTACCATCTGTCCCCGGAGTTCTGCACCTGGCTACCACAGCTCTTCCCCGAACACCACGGCTCCTGCACGAGGCCCTGCGCTCCTGCAGAAAAGGAGCTGTCTCTCGTTTTCTATTTCCAACACCCAGCCAGGTACCGACGGAGAATCGGGGCCGAAAAGCGTTCCCTGATCGATGCACCGCTCCCTCATCCCCTCAGCAGGATATAACGAAAAGAACCACAGTGGAATCAGAAGATCTGGATTTGACCTCCAGTCTACCCGGGACATAAATGGTTTACATGTAGTTATCTCATTTAAACCCTTCTGTGACACCACCTCAACTCTACTGATGAAGAACCTGAGGCAGAGAGAGGTTTATCACTGATCAAGATCAGAGAAGCCCGGTCAGAGGAAGTGTTCAAGCCACACACTCGGGCTCTGAGGGACGATGCCAGCCCGCCCCCGCCCCTCCCAGCAGCCATCCTCTGAACAGCCTCTTCTACACCCCCTCAGAAAGAACCAAACCCACATCAGTGCTCCACAGAGAGGTAGGGCAGCCCCTGGGAGACTTCTCAAACCCTCAAGAGTTGGGGCTGAAGGCAGAGATTTAAGGTTCTGTGCTTCTCAAAAGAAGGCACAGCTTTTAGCAACTGCAAAACCCTTATCTGGTCCAGGCCTTCGCTGCGCAGAGACGGAAAGGGGGGCCCGGTGCGGCTGAGGGAAGGCCTCATGGACAAGGACCGCCTCGCGGCAGCACCAGCAAACCCTGAGCCCTGCTGACGGATGAAGCCTCCACAAGGCCCAGGAGAACACGTGCAGAAAGAAAAGACAGACAACAAGCAGACAGGCCCTCCCTCCACATACTGTGCAATGAGGTTTCATCAAGGTATTCATTATGTTTGCACCCAAAATGAAGGGGGGCTATATCAAGGTGCCACAGCTTACAGAAGTTGGGGATTTTGAGTCATAATGGAAATCCTAACCTGTACCGTGGCTTTCCCCATTCAAGCATGTGCTCGGTGGCACACTGGGCCAGGCAGGACACGAGCCACGAGTGCCGCCACACACGGATCCCTAGGAACACGGCACACATCACACCTAGGCCCACCGAAGAACGGCCATCTACAGATAAGACCGAATTAATGAAATTTAAAGCAGCCGAGCCGCCAACGTTATTAGCAAAAAGGATGTTGCTACCTCCTTAGCAACACGTGGCAGAGAATCGACTGCAGCCACCGAGCCCATCGAGTTGCTTCTCTCCCTGGCTGTCATTCTGCATGAGACCATAAGTGAGTCACACAGGGTCACCGAGGTTTTCTCTTTTGTGAAGGGCTCTGGTTGGAATGAACAAGGTATCTCATCATTCGCATCCCCAACACTGAGTGAGGACTTCCCATGTGCCAGGCTCTGTATGGACGAAAAGACAGCGTCCCCAGTACATTCACGAGGAGAAAGAGAAGACAGATGTTAATTCTCCCCAGTTTGATATATATAGACTCAATGCTATTCTGATTAGACCTCCTACCAGAATTTTTGTGGAATATAACAAATTAATTTATGGTCCAGAATAGCCAAGAAACTTCTGAAGAACCACCGCTGAGGAGGGGCATTTGTGCCCCCCCTCTCCGCCCCCCAAGAGCAGGCCCAGATACACCTGCGAATGCTAACAGGATACAGGGTTTCTTTTGAGGGCAATGAAATGTCCCAAAACTGTGGTGGTGGCTGCAAAGCTCTGTGAATACACTAAAAACCACTCAGTCGTAGATTTAAATGGGTCAACTGTACGGTATATAAATGGTATTTCAGTACCTCTGTGTGGGGGAAAAAAGGCCAAATAAAAAGCTACAGTCAGCACAATACTGGCCCAGGGATAAAAAGAAAAATGGAATGTAATCCTGCCCAGAACCAGATCCACACGTACACGGCAATTTGAAATACGGCAAAGGTGCCGCTGTAGGCATGGTAGGAAAGGACAGGCTCTCCAATAAATGACACAAGACAACGGGTAATTCATGTGTAAGAAGACAACATCACCCAATCAGGATATGGGCAAAATGCTCAAAGAGGCGTCTTTGAAGACAAAACTCAAATAGCCAGGACAGGTACAGAAGGATGCCCCACCTTGATGGCAACCAGGAAAAAGCAAATTGAAGTCACAGTGACAGGCCATTTCACACCCAAAATAAAATGACAAAATAAAAATTGTATTGTGGTAAAATATACATGAGATTTACCATTTTTAAGTGTACAGGTCTAGGGCATTAAGGACATTCCCACTGCTATGCAAACGTCTCCAGAAGTTCTCCATCTCCCCGACCCGACACTCTGTACTCGGTAAACAATGATTCCCCACGCCCGCTCTCCCCAGCCCCCCCGCAGCAAACCTTCTGACTTTCTATCTTTATGAATTGAACTGCTCTAGGTCCCTCATCTAAGTCGAATCACACATTCTGTGTCCTTTCGTGACTAGCTTATTTCACTTAGCAGGTCTTCAAGGTTCATCCGTGTTATAGTAGTGGATCAGAATTTCCTTCTTTTTCAATGCTTATATCCCACTGTATAGATACACTATTTACTCATTCATTCATCAAAGGTCACTGGGGCTGCTCCTAGCTTTGGGCTACTGTGAATCATGCTACTACACAGACAAAACATTTTGAGTATGAAAAACACCAAATGTTTACAAAGATATAGATCACAGTAACTCTCCTAAGACAGCAGGCATACGGACTGGTATGTCCTGCGCCCAGGAACTTCCCTCCTAGAGCAACTCTGACATGTGGATGGCAGGAGACATCATTAAAGGATCCTAGAAGCCAGAACTAGAGACAACACAAATGTCCACTGTCAGGAGAGTGGACAAATAAACTGTGGCCTTTTAACGCAATGGAATACTACAGAACCCGGAACATGAATGGCCCAGAGCGACCCTGCGGGAACACGGCTGAATCTCAACAGTGTGATGCGCAAATAAAGTAGGTCGTGGATTAGTACAAGCCGTACAATTCCGTTCACATAAAGTTCAAAAACAGGAAACACTACACAACGTATTGTTTAGGGATATTTACACACAAAGTAAAGCTATAAAGAAAAATAAATTTGGGTAGTGGTTGCTTGAGAGAGGAGTGCCGTTCGGGAGTGAGACAGCAGGCTTCGGAAGTTAAGCCAAATGGCAGACGTGGAGGCATTTGTTTTGTGATTCTATAAACTATACATAAACATCACATATACCTTTGCTATAGTCTGTATTTCAAAATTTTTCAAGAGTTACGGATACCTGGGTGGCTCAGTTGGTGAAGCAGCTGCCTTGGCTCAGGTCATGATCCCAGGGTCCTGGGATGGAGCCCCACGTCAGTCTCCCTGCTCAGCGGGGAGCCTGCTTCTCCCTCTCCCTCTGCCTCAGTGCGCTCTCTCAAATAAATAAATAAATAAAATCTTTAAATAAATTTTTTTTCAAGGGTTAAAAAAGGGAGAAGGTCCAACTTCAAGTAGCTCACAGCCTAGTGGTCAGCACGTCAACTAGTTTTAGAGCCCAGACTCTGCCCTGTCCTCAACCCGCCGGCTATGCTGCTGGTCCTGCAAATACCTTCCTCTATGAGCAAGAAAACAGGACGCACAAAGAGGCAAGTGGATTCAGCTGCAGATCCACCTGAAGATAGGGGACAGCGGGTCCTGGGCACGGGTCTCAGGACAGATGCTCAATTTCTCTAGTCTGAAGTAAAATGAGAAAAAGTAGAATACTGCGTGAACTTCTCATAAAACTAAACTTAGGTATATTTGGTAAGTGCTTTATAAATATTAACCAGTGTTATAATTTATGTTTAGGTAATGAACTTCCACATTTTTTGACATTAAAACATTCTTGCTTTTATGAAATGTTGGTGAGAGTAGATGGTGGTTATTTTCCATTGTCCTGTCTGGGCGAAAATTAAAATTGACATCCCTATTATTGACCCTCCAGTTTTCTGGAATTTGCAAATCTATGAAATCCAAACAACTAACTCACCCTGGACTAAATGAACCCTCTGGGTCCCTTCCAGTTCTGACTAGGCACTAAAAAGACACCAGCAATCAAATCCGTGCCACGGGTCAATAAACCTTACAAACTCAAGCAAGAGTTTTCCCTGAAGCAGCTCAGTATCACAAACTTCTTGTTCACTTTTGCCCCAAATTCAAAATATGCATCTTACATGGGAGCAAATCTGTCTCATATAAGGTAGAAAGAGGACATTCACTGGGCTAGCTATAATGTATCCTATTTAGACTTCCCATCAACCCTAAGAAATGAGATCACTATCTTCAATCGAACAGATGAAATAAGGCTCAGTCATTCTGCTCAAGGTCTCCTCATCAGTAGGTGATGAACTGGAGCCAGGCGCCAGAGTCCATACTTTTCCACTGGTTTCTTCAAGGGAGAAGCTGACAAAATAAGACCTGGCACTGAGCCAGGTTCTGAGACTAATCTAATACAAACATTAAAACATCAAAAATAGGGGCACCTGGGTGGCTCAGTTGATTAAGGGTCTGCCTTCGGCTCAGGTCATCGGCCAGGGTCCTGGGATCGAGTCCCACATCGGGCTCTCTCTTCAGTGGGGAGCCTGTTTCTCCCTCCCCCTCTGCCCCTCCCCCCATGCTCTCTAGCTCTCTCTCTCTCCTCTCAAATAAATAAAATCATTTAAAAAAACCATCAAAGTGCTCACTTCGGCAGCACATATACTAAAAAAACCATCAAAAATATATTTCTTCAACATGGTAGCTCCCCCCAAAAGTTAAACACAGAACTACCATATAAACAGCAATTCTACTCCTAGGTACATACCAAAGAGATTTGAAAACACATGTCCACACAAAAACTTGTCCACAAAGGTTCATAGCAGCATTATTCTTAATAGTCAAAGAGTGGAAACAATACCATTGTCCATCAACTAATGAACGGATAAACAAAATGTGGTCTGTCCAATGAGAGAACATTGCTCAGCCATAAAAGGGAAGAAAGTACTGATACTACTACAACATGGATGAACCTTGCAAACATGATGCTCAGTGAAAGAAGTGAATAACAAAAGGCCGCACAGTGTATGATTCCGTTTATATGAAATGCCCACTGCACGCAAATCCTGGAGACAGAAAGTAAATTAGTGGCTGCCGGGAGCTGCAGGACAGAACAAGACGTGACTGCCAGTGAGTATGGAGTTTCCTTTTGAAGTGGTAAAAAACGTTCTGGTACAGTGATGTCTGCACGACTGCACACCAGGGCACTGTACATTCTAAATGGGTAGATTTCGCGGTATGTGAACGATATCTCAATAAAGCAGTTATTTTTAAAAATATTTCTTGACAACCGTTTGTCCCTCTCTACTACTAGTCTGCCACACAATTTAAGAAAAACAAACATAACCTTGCTGGATCTTTAGTATGGCAATATTCCTGGGTCTCCAACATCATGCCTGGAGTCCTGTCCTTCACGTTAACAAATACTAGCCGGGCTGGACGAGGAAGTGACTGTAACTATTTCTCAAAAACGGACAGTCTAGTTTAAACTCGGGGGAGGGGGGTTGATGGATGGAGGATGTCACAGCCCCCTGCCTTCAGCTCATTTTGAACTAAAGCGAGCCCTGCTTTCAACATTTTAACCCCTCTCTCTATAAAAACACGTGAATTCAACAAGCATCCTATCTGAACACCAGAAAAGTGTGGGTTAGAAGGCATTTGCGGTGGCAAGGCGCAGCGGGGGCGGGTCGCGAGAGGCAGATGGCCACAGGCAAGCACAGCGCTGGCACGCTTCCTTCCCCACGACCCCCGTGGGGTCAGCTGGAGTTGACCACAGAGGCTCTCATCTCAGGACCCGGCGCCTGGGACCGCTGAGCTGGGTCTCAGGCACTCTCAACCCGGAGGACAGGGACAGGAGGGTAGCCCCGGGCCGGCCGGGCCGCCCTGCGGGAAGACCAGCGTGCGCCGGGGATCCCCCGACCCCACGCGGCCCGGGGGCCAGGACGCGGCAGGCGGAATAGGGGAGGGGGCCGCCGCCGCGCGCCGCAGGGAGCAAGGGCCAAGGCCCCAGGGCGGCAGGTGCGGGCACGGCCCCGGGTAGGTGTGCGGCGGGCGCCGGGCAGGCTGGGGCAGGTGCGAAGTGGACCCCGGCCCGGGCAGGTGCGGGCTGACTCGCGCCCTCGCTTGCCGCCACACACAGGCAGCCCTCCCGCAGCCGGCCGACCCCTAGCCCGGAGCCCCTCACCTCGCACTTACACAGCCGGCGGCCCGAGCCCGGAGAGGGAGCCAACGGCCTGGCGGGCGGCGGAGCCGAGCAGCCTCTGCGACCGCTCCCCCCTACTCAGAGCTGGCGCTTCCGACCGGCGGCCGCGCCGGCACCCTCCTGCGCATGCTCGGGGCCGCTCCGGGCCCGAGCTCCGCTCCGGGTTTTGGGAGGAACGCAGGGGAAGCCGGGGAGGAGGACGAGAGGGGAGGGGAGGAGGAGCAGAAAAGCTTCGGCTCCTGCGGCTGTGCACGCCGAGGGCGGGGCCTGCCCTGTCTCCGCGCCACTTTCTAACCACTCAAGGCGCGCAGGTCAAATTTCAGCACCCCGGAGGAGTGGGGGGGAGGAGGGAACCTGCAAGACCCCTGCGGAGTCGCCGCCCCCGCGCCCAGCAGGCTCCCTGCCGCCCCGGAGACCAAGCACCCACAGGCGTGCCACCGCTAATGTTCGGAACTACCGGTGGGCTGAATAAGAGCCCCTTCTGCAGGGTAGGCGTGCCTCCCGGGCGCGCTTTATCCGCGCAGCCGTGGAGGCTGCGCGGGGGCGCGCGCCGGAGGGTCAGAGCCCGATGGGGACCAGAGTCTGAGCCCCATCTCTCGTGGGTGGAGCCACTCCCGGCCTGGAGGGTCCCAGCCGTCCACCCAGAGGGAAGGTGGGGAACAGCTGTTCCAGAGGACAGAAACCACTTTAACATTTAAATTTCTCTGTGTTGAACCGGAATTTACATACATACCTTAGAGCGTCCATAGCACATTTGGAAAGGTGCACAAGACATTGTTAACAGTGTCATCTCCAGAAAGGGCTGAGAGAACAGGATGGTGGAGAAGACGCTGTTTCCCTTGTGTATCTTTGTGTTCTGTATACATGTATTTCTTTTTCAAATAAAAAGTGTTTTTAGCGGCGCCTGAGTGGCTCAGTCCTTAAGCGACTGCCTTCGGCTCGGGTCGTGATCCCAGAGTCCTGGGATCGAGCCCCGCATCGGGCTCCCTGCTCAGTGGGAAGCCTGCTTCTCCCTCTCCCACTCCCCCTGCTTGTGTTCCCTCTCTCGCTGTGTCTCTCTCAAATTAATAAATAAAATCTTTAAAAAAAAAAAAAAAGTGTTTTTAGAGGCGCCTGACTGGCTTAGTCGGTAGAGCATACAACTCTTGATCTCAGGGTCCTGAGTTCAAGGCCTACCGATGATCATGGACCCTACTTTAAAAAAAAAAAAAAAAATCAATGTAACAGAAGACAAGAATCGTCCCGTCAGCAAATACAGCAGACAGGAAAAAACTGAGCCATCACATTTGCTTTAAGCCAGCAAGCATTTATTGAGTCTTTGCTATGTGTGCAGTGCTGTTTTAGGACTTATTTTATTATTCATATTTTTTATAAAATAATATGCTATCCCTCCTCCCTGCCCAGGGTCAGTGGAAAACCAATTTTTTATTGAATTGTTTCCCAAAGAGTAGGAATGAGTTATAAGCAGAACATATCTTCAGGGCAAAGCAGGTGAAGCAGATTTTCAGCATGCCAGAGAGCCAGGAAGTGTTTTCAAGAGTCACCCAGAGTGCTCACTTCGGCAGCACATATACTAAAAAAGAGAGTCGCCCAGACACTGAGGGAGAGTGCCTCCAACACTCCACAAACGGATGCCCACAGGGGCTGCTCCATGGCATTAAGAATTCAGGTTGACAGTTATAGAAAACAGACCTTACGGGAGGCCACCCTTGATGGAGGTCTGTGTGCCAGGAACAGAGCTCCACCACTCAGCTCACACTATCTTCCTAAGATCCATGCAAGGTAGCTATTCTTAGTGCTGAGGCCCAGAAAAGACACACCACTTGGCTGGGGTTGCACAAGTGGCTGCTGTTATTTAAGGATTCAGATCCAGGGCTGTCTGACTCCATGGCTTGTGCTCTTTCCATAGTCCTTCTTTGTTCTTATTCTCTTTATAAATGGATAAGGCAAGCAATTTAGAAATCAATATTGAAAGCTGGCAAAAGGAAACATTGCTATTTTAGTACAGTGTTTCTGTTTACAATGTACTCACTTACAGTAATTTATTTTATTGTTCCAGCAAATCTGTGAGAGAGAAGAGACTATCCTGCATTTTTACCAATGAGAAGACGGAGGCTCAGAGAAGGTAGGGGCTTGCATTAAACTGATCCATGGGGGTATCCAGGGCTGTCTTACTCCTGGAGTTATTCACCTTTCATAGCTTTAACATTTCCTGTGCGTCTCATCTTAATGTTCAGAATTCAACGAATATAGCAAAACCTGCCCTCAAGGAGTTTGTAGACGCTTCAAGTTGGATTGGAAGGAGCCTCTAAAATAATCAGGTCCAACCTCACACCCACACAAGATCCCTCTACAAAAGTCCTAATGGGGTGGAAAGTTCGATGATACAGAGCTCTAATAGAAAGTTCTCCAATTGGGGTGCCTGGCTGCCCCAGTCAGTGGAGCATGTGACTCTTGATCTTGGGGTCGTGAGTTCTAGCCCCACACTGGGTGTAGAGATTACATAAAAATAAAACCTTAAAAAAGAAAGAAATTTCTCCAGTAAAATGAGGCAGAATCTGAGGCTTCCTTGAAAAATCAAATCATGGAGTCCCAAAGATGAGAACCAATGCCCAGGAGACTTTGTGGAGTTGAGAACTGTCACTGAAACATGAGTCAAAAGTACAAAGCACCTACCCCATCACTCACCTACATAACCTCAACGTCTTCATCCATAAAATGAGGGTAAGCACTTCATGAGGCTGTCACCAGGATTAAATAAAATCATGTATGAGAAAACATTTGGAGACACAGTGGGACCGACTGAAGTTCCATTTTAATGATGTCACATCCTAGTTGTATAGCTTTGGGATAGGGTGACCATGTATCTTGATTTGCCTGAAACAATCCCAATTTATGCCTGGTGTCCTGACTAAAAGTGTTCTGCTTGGGTGACATTTGGGGAACTTTGGGCAAAGTCCATCATCCCTCAGGATTTCTGAACCCCCAACAGTATTATGTAGGGTTTCTGACTCCTTTCCATGTCGTAGGGCTCTCTTCTACCCTGCAGTCTACACAAATACTTTACCATGTCTCACTTGGGCTTTCTAGTGCCCAAGCTAAACGGGAAGGGATTCATTTACTTAACTACATATATTTAATACTGCTAAACACCAACCAATTGAGTGGGTCTTTCACATCTGTTCCCTCAAAATAATACAGTCATGGTCGCTACTATTTACCTGGCAGGTAATGTGCAAGGTGTTGTCAGAAATTTCTCATTTAATCCTCACAAGAACCTTATAAGGTAGGTTGTTCTAATTTAAGGGGACTAAGCAGTAACATTCCTTTTTTCCCCTTCCTGAGTGTGGAACAACGCAGAGAATCAAACAATGGGTATTTACAAGTCAGTTTTATCACCAGTATGTTGGTTGAACAGGGTGCTTTGGATCTGGAGCCAAAATTTTGGTTTGGGTTTACGAAATCCTTCCCCTTAGATTTATTCAGCCTCGATTCAGCTAAGAATTATCTTAGCCAGCGCTGGACACCAGAGGTCTCCCTGAAGGGCCCAAAGTCGCACGAGCTAACGAGGGGAAAGCCGGGGTTTCACACCAAGATAAGCACCAAAGCTCATTTAAACCCTTTTAAAAGCTCATCACAACCCCTCCGCAAAGACCTGTGAACGTCAAGTGATGGAAGTGGCTCAGTCATTGCGCACTTGGCCGGGATTCCAGCTCAGGCCTTTCCGTGGGCAACTGCTGCTTTCGGGGGAAGGAGCTCTCAGGTAAGGTCCCTGCAGGAGGATGGGGTGGCTGTCACCTGCCTTTGCACGAGTGCAGAAGGGATGCTGTGAGGTTGCACAGGAAGGAGGGAAACAGCGCGGAGTGCCAGCCAGATCCTGGACTTCCGTCTGAATCCCCAGCGCCCAGCACCAGCTCTGACACAACGTACTCTCAGGGAAAGCTAAGTGAATCAATCCATTCTGTGAATGAACGAATGAATGAAACTGCAGAGCCCGCCAGAGGTCGACAGCGGCTCCCCCAAGGGGGCTTCTAACTGACCAATCAGCGCCTTCTGCGCGCCACGCCCCCCCAGCCACGCCCTCAACCCGCCCCTCCGCTATCCCACCGGCTGCGCGGAAATCCCGGAGCAGTGGATTCCCCGAGCCTGCGTCGGTGGGAGTGCGCATGCTCTAGATCTGGCAGCGGCTAGGCGTCCTTTAACCTGGGCGCCCAGGGGGCAGATTTGAAAGCGACTGGTCGGGGGACGGAAGCCATCCACCTGCGTCCCCAACAACTCCTCCCGCAGAATCAGAGTCCTGTTGGCTACTCCCAGCCCCACTGCGACAGCCCAGCTACCCGAGGAGAGACGCTCCCAATCGGAACCTCCCCACCGGCGGGAGGGCCAGAGGCGAACAGCCGGAAGTGACGCACGGGCCCGAGCGCGAGGACCGCGGTTCCGCGCTCGTCGCCCTGGAAACCGAGCCCCTCGCCTGCGTCCCGAGTGCGTCAGCGGCTCGGAGGTCCCCGCGCGGGGCCGGCGCGCTGCGGGTGGGAAGGGCCCCAAGGCCTTCCTTGTGTGCACGCGGTTATTCCGCTCGGGAATACGCGTGGGACGCCGGCTGTGTCCCCCATGGAGACACCGATGCCGGGGAGCGCTGGCACCTGCGCGGGTCCGCCCTGCAGCCCGGGCGACCCTCCGAAAGCCTGCCCCCCCACCCGGCTGCTGGGTGCTGGAGCCCCAGCTTCCTTCTCGGAGCAAAGCCGCGGCTCTTCTCTCGTTGGCCCCTAAGCCGAGCCCTTCCGCGCTTGCTGGAGCTCTCCGTGCGCTTCCCTCCGCGCAGGGGCCCCCAGCCCGCGCAGCCCTGCTCCTGACCCTCGGCTCACGCGCCCTTCCCCAGGCCGCGCTGGGCGGGGGGCCGATCGGGGTTTCTCCTCTGGCCGCCGTGCTAGGCTCCCGCACTCTTCCTTTTAAAAGTTTGCACACAGTGACTTCATTTTCAGGGGACCAGTTCTTCGTCCTCAAAGAGCTTGTCTGGGTTAACTTTCTTATGTGGTTTCAAAGTCACGGAAAACTGGCACGAACTGTAAAAATAACTCCCGTAGTATTCACCAACGATTTACGCTT